AGAGTAGACTACAATGCCGGCTGTTCTGACTCAAAGACTGTAAGTACGTCTTCATATTTAAAGAGTTTTTATATTTTATATATTTAAAGCGAGTTTTTTGGGCAGTGTAGAGTAGGGCTTGTTGTTTGTAATTTCTCCGATCACAAATGCAGACATGGTTTTATGTTAACACGGCACGATGCAACGCAACGCGTAAAAACACAATATAAGTCATTATAATCCATAATTATGTCCCCACTGGATGCAACGAATGCCTCGTTTATAATGCGTTTTCATGTTTTTGAATCATCGCTCCAGCCTGACAGGGCATCATCACAGTATGGTGAGGGGCGTAACATTTCTGTCACACGCTTGAGGTATTCAGCCAATCACAACACACTGGATAGCTGGCCAATCACAGCACACCTCACTTTTCAGACTGATGAGCTTTGTAAAAATCGACGCGTTTCAGAAAGGCGGGGCATAGAGGAGAAACAATAATTTACAGTATGTGGAAAATAATGTGTTTTTTAACCTTAAACCGCATAAACACATTTCATTACACCAAATACACAAAATAATGTTCTTTTTAGCAGCATCATATGACCCCTTTAAAACTGTCTTATCTCTTATGTTTATGACAGCTGACAAATTTGGACTGTTTGGACTTCTGCCTGGCCTGATCTGTTTTAAAAATGCTTTAAGTGAACTGTATAAACACTTGTAAGTTTCTCACAGAGGTTTGTCTCACAGGACCTGGCAGGGTGAGAGGTTTTAGGAGACAATGGGAATCCGGGAGGGACATGATGTCGAGAAGGGGTTCACTAAATAGAGCTGCTGCCACTGTCACGGTATAAGTCATTGTATTGTTTCTGGTCCTAAAATAAGGTTAAGTAATTTAAACCGGTGTTTTTTATTGAATACCCTGTGTTCTATGTAAATAAGGTGACTTTTCTTTCAACAATGATTTTACTGTGTATCATAGGCCGGTGAACAGTTTGATCAAACCACATTCACATCGAGGGGGACATTCAGAGGACGAGGAAGAGGTAGAGGAAGAGGAGGCAGACTGAGCAGGTTCTACTCTTTTCATTCATTCATAAAATCTGAATATGATGTTATGTTTTTTTTTACTCTAATATCAAAACAAAATATGAATAATAAAATATACTATAATAATAATACAGTATCATGCTTAATTACTAATTATGGAACAACTGATGAATATTGGGTTTTTTAATTTTATATCCAAACTTATCCTTACCACTAAAATTCAAGAATCTCAGTCTAAAGTACCTATTGTTATATAATAAAGTATTTATTATATTCTCTACAATTCAACTGTGAGCAGGACAATATGATATATTATGCCATATGTGCCAACAGGAGTGGTGAAGGTGGACACAGCAACTCATGAGAACTGGTTTTCATGGGACGTAGTCTTCCAATGTATAGCCCAATCTATTTGAAGATTCTATTTGAAGCCATAATATCTGCATAATATTTCTATGCAGCCAAGGCTGAAATGGTCAGTGTTGCTTCAAAGAGAAGCTTAGGATGATGCAGCTGCGACACACAAAGGCAGAGATATACACTACTGTTCAAAAGTTTGGAGTCAGTAGTTTTTTTTATATAGTATTAAAGTATTATTAAGAAATTAATAGTTCTGTTCAGCAAGGAGCAATTTACTTGATCAAAGTGATAGTAAATATTTATAATATTACAAAAGATTTCTATTCATTAAAGGGGTCACATGTTTTATCGTTATTTTGTGTATTTGGTGTAATGAAATGTGTTTATGCGGTTTAAGGTTCAAAAAACACATTATTGTTTCTCCTCTATGCCCCGCCTTTCTGAAACGCGTCGATTTTTACAAAGCTCATCGGTCTGAAAAGCGAGGTGTGCTGTGATTGGCCAGCTATCCAGTGCGTTGTGATTGCCCAAATACCTCAAGCGTGTGACAGAAATGTTACGCTCCTTACCATATTGTGATGCCCTGTCCGGCCAGAGCGACGAGACAAAAACATTAAAACCCATTATAAACGAGGCATTTGTTGCATCCAGTGGGGACATAATTACGGATTATAATAACTTATACTGTCTTTTTACACGTTGCGTTGCATCGCACCGTGTTAACATAAAACCATGTCTGCATTTGTGATCGGAGAAATGACAAACAACAAGCGCTACTCTACAGTGCTCAAAACTCGCGTTTGAATTATCAGTGGCAAATCCTTCAAATATAATATAAAAAACGTACTTACAGTATGTGAGTCAGAACAGCCGGCATTGTAGTCTACTCTACCAGGATCAGGAAACAGTCCTCCATAAAATGTGCTGTACACATCTGAATATTTGGGTTGAAGTGTTCTGGAACAGTAGTCGCGTTTCCATTACAGATTTGCGCAAAACTTTGGCGATATTTTCTGAATATCGATAAAAAAGTATTGCGAAATTACGGCGTTTCCATTAACCAATGTACCAAACGTAAACTTTTGCCTCTCGCGATAAGTCATGGCAACGGATTTTGGTGGGATTTTGACGGATTTTCGCTATATTTATTCAAAGGAAGATTATGCATGTATCTTTACAGAAGCAGCAAAGAGAGCCGCTTCAGAAACGTGCGTGGCGTGGCTGGAATAAACCATAGACTGTATAAAAACATAAACACAAGCATTGAGTGGCCGTAATCAGCTTCAGTGGCCGTATCAGAGCCACACTGCACCGCAGACGTGTGCAATGTAAAATGTCTAAGCATTAATAGTAGGGAAAGCCCCTTATTCTGGAGCGTGGCCACGTATGAAGTGTTTCTTGGAGGTTATAGTACATTGAAGAATGATCATATGACTTTTTACATACGCCATGTGACCTGTAAATGCGAAAAAGCCGTTTCCATTGCAGTTTTGCGAATTAATCCTTTTTCGCATTGCCTGAAAAACCACCTCATGCGAGCGTAAAAACTTTTTTGCGATATATGGCCGTTTTTGTGAAATTTACGCGTTTCCATTAGGCGTATTTTCAATTCGCAATTTCAATTTGCTCAATTTGAAGGGTAATGGAAACGCACCTAGTGTTATAAATACAACTTAACCACTGATTTCTAGTTGTGTCCTCTTTTGGAAGGCCAAACAAAGTAGTTTCAGTTTCACAACGAATATCTCTTTGGATTTGAGACTTTTGTCTTTGCAACTTTACAGATCTTCTTTATGCATCAAGAGCTTGTAACACTTCAAAGAGAAAGGAAAAATTGAAATCGCATCATATGACCCCTTTAAAGAATCCTGAAAAAATGTTTCCACAAAAATATTAAGCCGCACAACTGTTTTCAACACTTATTTTAAATTTTTTTAAACACCAAATCAGCATATTAGAATGATTTTTGAAGGATCATGTAACACTGAAGACTGGAGTAATGATGCTGAAAATTCAGTTTTGCCATCACAAGAATAAATCAATTTTTAAAATATAATAAAATAGACAACTGATATTTTAAATCATAATAATAATTGAGAATATTACTGCTTTTACTGTATTTTTGATCAAATGAATGCAGCCTTGGTGAGCATAAGAGACTTGATGATTTCAAAAACATTAAAAATCTAATATATAGGTAAAATACAACAACAATAAATGGGAAAAAAATGTATTGGGTGACATCTGGTAAACTCAATATTTTATGGGTTGTGACATAAAATATCGAATTCTTCTTAGAAGTAGCATTAAACTTTAAGAAAAAGAGCTATAAACTCAGCATAAAACAGTCTGCAGTTTAATATAATTGTTTGATTGCTGTTGTTGTTGTAGGGGTGCATTGTTAGCAAGAGGACAGAGGGGTGGAAGACCATTTGTATTAGACAGAGGGGTAAGAATGACAATCTTTATTAATAATAATAAAAACATTCACATTATACACAACTTATACACGGATTGACCTTCCTGTTAATATATTTTAGACCTACATTTCTGTCTTTGTCTTTGTTACTTCAGTTTTCCGCTACAAAAAGGACTGAGAAATTACAGAGGTATCAGACGATAAGAAGGTGAGTTTTAATTCAATGAGAATATGACAGTATATTCCAAAAAGTATTCTCAAGACGTGTAAACTAATTGTCTCTGCTCGTTTTCTCTCTCTGTGTCTGTCACACCCACATCCACACACATACTGAAGTCGAAGAACAGCACCATCTGGCTCCACGCTGACAGTTTCTCTACCAAATGCTAAATCTGCACCTGTCGCTGTGTGAGTAAATTCACCTTCTCACTTCTTTCTCATTCACTGGTTGTACATTTCTCTTTATTTATCTTTTCTTTGTCTCACTCCTTTCTCTCCATCAGGAAGACATCTAATCAGGCTAGGAGGGGTGGGGCAGTGTTAAGGGGCAGATCATCTGGAAGAGCCGGTACTTCTTCTCCTAAGGGGATTCCTCTGCAATTTAACTACAAAGCAGCCACTAACCAGGTGAGTTGAACTGTCCGGCAGAGCCTGTATACCCAGTAAAGTGGGAGAGTCAGACATTTATTGCATTTTATTGGCCTTGTATGTGTAAAGACTAATTTTTATTTAAAAAAATGCATGAATAAACTTTTAGAGCCTCTGTTTTTATTTTGTTTTGCAGACTGCCGTATACCTTAATGACCGTTTCACTGACCTGAGGTTAAGAGTGCGAGGACGGGGCCGGGGAAGAGGAAGAGGAGCTCTTGGAGGAGGTGGAAGAGGAAATATCATTGGGGGTGGACGAGGTAGAGGACAAGGAAACATTATAGGTGGTGGCAGAGGCAGAGGAAGGGGTGGGGTTGGTGTGACAAGAGGAGGAAGAGGCTTGAGAAGAGGGAGGGGAGGATCAAGAGGAGCCGATCGAACAGTAACTCTTCAGTGATTAGAATTACAACCATTCAGTTTTATGAAGTTGTAGTGTTTACTGTTAGTGATGCACTGAAATTTCCACAACCAATGATATTGGGGCGAAACAGAAGAAGAAAAAATCAGTTTCAGCATAAATAGTTTTGGAGGCCCACAATCAGTGACGTTTAACTACAACTAAAAATGGAATTGGTTTTGTAAAAAAAAAAAAATAATTATAATAATAATAATTTTGGTGCATCACTATTTGCTGTAATGATGTCATTCAACTAAATATTTGAAAGATTTCTGACAGCAGCTGTGTACAAACAAAAATTGTCTTTTTAAAAAGAAAATGTAAATTATTTGATTGTTATATGATGAAGGTTTTTACATTTTAGGTTATGGAAAAATAAAATGTGTAATGGTACCTCAGAGGGTAATGAAATGCCTCTTTGAATACAGTGTAAATACTGTTTTGCATTCTAAAACTAGAAGAGGTCATCTCAGTAATAAAAAATGTATCCAGTACTTCAAACTAAATGTAAATATGCAAAGAAGTTGTTTACATTTTATATCACCATGTCAATAAACACTAAACAATTCACTTTTTTTTTTTGTGTGAAGAATTATTTTGTGTTGTCTGTCTGGTTTGTCCATTCGTTTATTTGGACGTGCTGCTTAGTTAACCTAAAAATGCAAATTCTGTCATCATTAACTGACCTCCATGTCATTCCAAATCTCATGATTTTGTTTCTTCTGTGAAGAATTTTGGTTACCAATTACTTACATTGTATGGACAAAGTTTCTTACAGTGTCTTAGTGAGTAAATTGATGTCCAAATTTTCATTTTTGGGTGAACTATCTCTTTATGTAAAAATCAGTGAAATTTGGGTCTTTGGCTACTTGAGTGGATATTGAGAAATTTTATGACTTAAAACTGGCAATTTTTTTAAACACACATTCCAGGTGTTTCATTGTTCTTTGTGTTTCTTTTTCAGATGTTTGTTTTTTTATCTAATTAAATATTATCCAAACAATTTTTTTATTAAAAATGATAATTGTTTTCATATTGTTAGTCCCTTACATAATTTTCGTGAGAAAACGAGCTCAAACATGAGCAAGTGTTAAAGGGGTCATATGATGTTGCTAAAAAGAACATTATTTGGTGTATTTGGTGTAATGAAATGTGTTTATGCGGTTTAAGGTTCAAAAACACATTATTTTCCACATACTGTACATTATTGTTTCTCCTCTATGCCCGCCTTTCTGAAATGCGTCGATTTTTTAAAAAAAGCACATCGGTCAGAAAAGCAAGGTGTGCTGTGATTGGCCAGCTATCCAGTGCATTACTCCATTACTCCAGTTATCCAGTGCCCCTACCATACTGTGATGATGCCCTGTCAGGCCCAAGCGACGAGACAAAAACATGAAAACCCATTATAAACGAGGCATTCGTTGCATCCAGTGGGGACATAATTATGGATTATAATGACTTATACTGCCTTTTTACGCGTTGCGTTGCATCACGCCGCATAAACATAAAACCATGTCTGCATTTGTAATCGGAGAAATGACAAACAACAAGCCCTCCTCGACACTGCCCAAAAAACTCGCTTTAAATATAAAAAATATAAAAACTCTTTAAATATAAAAAACATGCTTACAGTCTTTGAGTCAGAACAGCCGGCATTGTAGTCTACTCTCCCAGCATCAGGAAGCGGTCCTCCATAAAATGTGCTGCACACATCTGAATATTTGGGTTGAAGTGTTCTGGAACAGTGTTGTAAATACAACTTAACCACTGATTTCTAGTCGTGTCCATTTTTGGAAGGAAACAAAGTAGTTTCGCTTTCACAACAAAACACAGCGTCACACACGGCGGCCTAGAGTGAGCAGAGGCTGGGGGCTAGAGTGAGCGGAGGCGGCGGGCTTGAGCACGGCGTGGCGGGCGGATTCGACGAAGGAGCGTCCGGAGGGCTTGCGGCAACCACATATGACGGCCCCGGGCTGGACTCCGCTTTGTCCACGGTGAAAGCCGATCCGGCGATCCACAGCGCAAAGTTGTTGTATTTCCTCAGCA